CTCCATGGCGCTCAGCCTGGGTGATGCTCTGCCGGGACGTGAGCTCCTGGTGCATCGAGGCGTGGAGCGGGGCGCCGAGACGAGCGCGAGCGCCACTCGATCTGTTTGGCGCTGCGAGGAGGCCACGGGGCACCAGCTCCTGGGCTTCGAGGATTTTGTTAGCGCCGCCCGCGCGGGCGCAGTCCATGATGCGAGCTGGAGGAGCTGCTGGAAGAGTTGGAGGAAATGGAGGAGGGAGTCGTGGGGAGGCGAGAGAGGAAGGGGATGGGGGATTGATTCAAGAGAAGAAGAATCGTGATGGTGATGATGTGATTTCTTTAAGCTCGCTCATCACTACCTGGAAAGAGGGTTGATTCTGCAAGAGCTCCTCGTCGTCTTCACCACCATTGCGATCGCTGTGGTAAGCAAGGCGGGATTGATCGGCTCCACGCTCGTCCTGCAACTCGCCGGGACGGGCTGCAGTGAAACCTGTCGAACGCGGCCTTGAGGTGCACCCATAGTTCTGCATCCATATTTTCACATTCGCTGTTTTCTGGTTGTGGTTCTTCCTTAGCATTCTTTGCTCGGACTTTGGCCTCACTTAACATAACTTGTATCGGAGCAATCCAATGAGATATGCTGTATAAATCACAAGGTCGTCTTTCGAAACATCTCTCTTTTTCGGCCAGTGATAGCTGTGGACTCAAACACAAGACGCACTTCCGAAACACACGAAGAGAAGAAATCAAACGACCTAGAATGGAGCTACACTGTGGCCAAACCAATTTAACATTGACAAAAGGTGGCGGTGCTCCTAACTTTAATAGAACTATCAATACGAAAATAAAAAACAGGGACCAGTTGAACTGGCATTTGATTTTTTCGGCCCATTCTCATCTATAAATGTTTTGAATCCAATTCCACCATAGTGGAAAAGAAATGCATCGCTTACTCTTGCTCCTGTCCTTGTCCTCCTCACAGGTCAGTGCTCTTTAGTGCTTCCTTTGTACTAATTGATGATAGCAGCAAGCGCCTCCGAGAGCTTTCTCCGTGACTTTGGCAGCACGGCGTCCACCGCCGCTACCTGAATCACATCGCTACCCCAAAGATCCCCACTTCGAGTTTGACATCATCAATGCCACCGAAGCTGGAACACCAGAGAGCGCAAAAGTTAGTAGCACCGGCAACGCCAACTTCACCCTTCGGTACCTTGTTCGCCATGGACGACAAAGTGACACTCCACCCCAGCTACAACTCGAGCGAGTCCGGCCGGGTCCAAGGAACTTACACCGTCGTCAGTAACTCGGGTACCTCGCCAGTCCTGTTTTACCAGATGGCTGTGGTGCTCCCCCGCGGGAAGCTCTGCTTCTTCGGTCACAGGCCTTTACTCCAAGCCCAGGCCGAGCTCTCAGTCTTTGCGTGTGGAGGACGCTTCAAGCACGGCAACGCTCTGGCTCGAGTCACAACCCGTTTATATCTCTCCATCTGGCCTCAACGAAGTCATGCTCTTCCAGGTCCCCACTTCTCTGCTTAGTCGTCACGATTAGTATAATACAAATTGCTCAGCACTTGCCTTGTAATCCATTTGCGTCTCACGTGAAAACGCCAGTCGCAGCTTGAGCGGCCGTTTGCACAGTACCCCCTGTAGCAAAAAAAAAAATCTCTGCTGTAAGTAGTACCTGCTCTGTTTCGTAAACATCAAGTAGTACGTACCCAGTCTGTTTCGTGAACAGGGAGAGGAATTGGCTGCTGGCCGGTCACGATTCAATCAACGACAGGATCTAGCACCAAACACTCGAGCTTTCTCCTGTTTAGAAACGAAAGAAACACAACAGTAAGACGTGCATGAGATGTGCAACGAAGGCATCACGTCGCTAACTGTTTGAAAGGAGAAGAGGTCAAAATGGATCTTACGCCTTACGAATGATGAACAGGTTTGTTCCAAACATGATTCGTCCAGATAATGCGTGTCGTCCTTCGGTGTGGTGGTGCGGATAATTGTTCTTGTCCCTGCGCAAACTAGAAATGGTGAGTGTGATGATCAATTAGCACAAAGGAAACATACCGGTACTTCTTTTTGCGATCTCGCAACGTTCTCCGAGGAAAGAGTGTTTCAACGGATCATACAAGCAGCCCCTTTTCAGTTGTGCATCGTCTTTTGACAGGAGGGACCCTCTAGTGCTTCAGCAATTCAGAGCCTCCACACAACGCTAGTAAGTTCTTCTCCCTCTTCAAAACGTAGCACCGCCTCTATGAAGATCTCTGCTCACTGTTTGGAGTCTTGTTCCTAGAGATAACTTCCACTCCTGTAGCAACGCAAGTATCAGAAGGATGGACGCTTGCAAGGAATGCCCGTACCCCGGATGCCTCTTCTGCCTGATGAAAGAGAATGTAGCTCCCTCCAAGCGTCGCTCCAGTATCGCACAGCTTTTCAAGCAGCTTCCCGAGCGAGACGAGCCCGGACAGGTGATGGCGATAAGTGGTCTCTGGAACGCAGCACTGCTCCGGCCGACCGATGGCGAGTTCATCGAGCTCGGAATTTTCGAGTGCATGGCGGCTCTCATTTTCAAAGGTATCCGGGACCGAAAATGGCTGGCCAGCGACCAAAACATATTCATCCCGTATTATGCCGCTCACATTATCGGCTCTTATACCATGATTGTCGAGGAATTCGCCATCAGAGCTGTGCAAGCCAAAGTTATTCCAGCTTTACTCGAGTTGCTCAAAGGAAAACTTACCTGGGTGGAACAGAGAGTTGCCTTGCGAGCGCTCGGCCATCTAGCAACATACGAGAGTACCTTCAGTTACATCCTCGACCGCAGAGAAATCTTGGACGTAGCGATGAAACTGGCAGCCGATGCTCTGGACATAGTCTACACACAATTCTACCGCTTTGTCGACCGGAGGCTCGAGTATCACCAGGACCTGCTCACCCGAGGACTCGGAGGCGTAGAGATGGAGTCGCGTAAAGCCGAGGAATGGGCGAGTCAGCTCCAGTGCTGGTCACTTCAGCTGATCAACTGCTTTGCTTTCCGGGAAGAGTACCTGGCCGTCGTCTGTGGCAACAAAGAGTTCCTTTGCAAGCTTCTCGGTATGTGGGGAGGCCTGGTGAACGAGAGCTCTCCAGCTGGAATCGGCCTCCTCCGGAGCATCTGCCGTGAAAGCTCTGGCCGAGTCGCTGTAGCTGACTGTCCTGGAGTTGTAAACGGACTTTGCAATGTGGCACGCTCGTCGGACGACTGGCAGTACATGGCTGTCGACTGCCTTGTCTGGCTGGTTCAAGACGTTGCTTCCAGAGACAAGGTGATTATTCTTCCCTTTTTTACCCTCCAATGCTTTCTCTGGCTGCGATTATGACGACACAGTTCTGATTCTGTTTCTTCTTTCCAGGTGCTTGACCAGGCAGCATGCGCGTTAGTGGACCTGACGGAGCTCTCGACAATGTCGGGAGACCAGAAAAAGCTCGGGGACTTGATTGCAACCACCCTGCTACGAAATCCTGCAGAACAGTCACAAGCTTCAGAAACAAGGCTGGCACTCAACGAAGTTGCAGCGGCTCAGCAGAGAATGAAACTCGAGAGAAACGAAGACAAAGACGACTTAAGGATACGAAAGGCTGCTGCGATGCTGTTGCGGCTCGAAGGCAACGCCAGATTTGCATCGGGAGATATACATGGTGCTGCGTGCAAGTATACCGAGGCGCTGGAACTCTGTCCCCTGAAAGCCAGGAAACAGAGAGCTTCCATCTACAGCAACCGTGCACAATGTCATCTCCTGTCTCAAAACAATCAAGCTGCTATAAGCGACTCTACCCGAGCTTTATGCCTCCAAAAAACGCACAGAGACAGTTTGTGGAGACGAGCTCAGGCATACGAGATGGAAGGACTTCCAAAAGAGAGCCTGCTGGACGGCATCATGTACATGATTGAGTGCTCGCAAAAAAAGAACAGGAAAAGCAACGTACCGGACTACATCGAGGCTCTCATAAAGAAACAAATGCGCGCGACTTGGCTCTTCAAAGAGGCATCCCAAAAGTGGGGAGCAATCGAGTATCGGTATCAAAACTGGAATGACAACCAAAGCTCTAGTCATGACGAGTCAGAATGGGAAACAGCTAGCGACGATTCATAACTTGCCCGACTAGACGAAGAGAGAAGGACTTCTTCTCTCCAAACTCCGCGAGATACATGTAAACAGTTTTGTTACTCGAGAAAAATATACAAAATTGGTAAGTATGCTAGCATATATACCTGTGAAGATTTCATGAAAAGCATACATGAAAACTTCTTCTCTCGGGAACTATTGTGTGTCATCTATGGTACATTACAGTCGCTATACATGCTCAGAGTTGTATATACACCTGTATAGCTTGTTCGGTCATTGAAAACAAGCCACATGTATGCTTACTTCAAAATACTGAAAGCTGGATTGTATGTTGCAAGCTGTTGCTGAAGTCCTTGTTCCTTTGGATTTGGAATCTAAGGCGGCTATTCTGTGGAGAAGCTCGAACCTGCAGAGAACGTCTTAGACTATGTCATTCAGTATGATAGTACCTGTCGCTTTAATTCTGCAAACTCGTTGGTATCAACAGATCCATCTGTGTTGGTGTCTAAAAGCCTCAGAAGTTCGGAGGTGTCACCTTTGTCTGCTCCAAGCTGTAAAAGTACATCGTGAAATTCTTCCTTGCTGATAATTCCATCGCTGTTTTTATCGAACATTCTAAAAACGTGATCGGCATTCGGTTCAGACACCGTATCACTTTGAAACCGGCACGCAGCAGTTTTAGCCGCTGCAAGCATAACGGCCTTGAAATTTTCAACCTGAAAAGAGCACCGTTAAATCGCTGAGAAAACAGAATAAAGACTCGACAAACCTGTCGGGGATCCGTAAGGCCTCCTTTGTATAGTGCGTGTGACGAACCTCCAGCGACAGCATGCGCGTGCATAGCCGAAGTTCGGATTTGAAGCTCCATAGGCAAACTCCATGGACCGTATTTTGTCAAGAAAACCGCCAAGTGCAAGCTCGAGTATCCATTTAGCTTCGGCTTTGCAATGTAGTCCTTCATTCTCCCTGGTACTTCTTTCCACATATTGGTGACAATCTTCTGAGCCCTGTAGCAAGCCGCAATGCCAGCTTCCTCTCCAGCACCAGTCTTCGGAAAAAGGATTACCCGAAGACCGAGTATGTCGTAAACTTGGTCGGGCCCCCGGCCATCTCTGAGCAGCTTCTTCATCGTGCTGAATCGACTCTTACGCCTGCCTGTCACCTTCACGGACTCTACCATGCCTTGAAGCACACTGTCAGCCTCTAAGGCAGCCTTCAGTTGCTTTATAGACTCCGCGATAATAGCTTCTCCGTCTCCCCAGTGGCTCTGGAGCCAGTCCTCGACGCACTGGTACGAATCGGGAAACAAAATCCGAAATGCCATGTCTTCCAGTTCCTGAGATAGAGTGCCAAGTCCCAGAGCGTGAGCCAGAGGAGCATAGAGTTGCATGTTTTCCAGAGCCGCCATCTGCTGGCGAAGCCTTGGAAGGCAGTCGACGTGCCGCATCTCGTCCAGGCGAGAAGCAAGCTCCACAACCATAGCCCGGATGTCGTGATAAGCAAGCGAAAAGTCACGAAGCATGTTGGCGTTTTCATCGTCCAGATTGTCTAGACAACAAGCGAGTTGATTCACCCGCAAGGAGTCGTCAAGAAGGTGGAAAGCCCCAGCACCAAGTTCTCGTTGCACATCAGTAAGAGATAGAACCTCTGTCTCCATAGCAACACGGAGAATGCCCGATGCAATAACTTCAGCATCCATCTGCGCGAGAAAAAACAAAACATACTGTAAAACTCCAACAGGAACTTTGCAAAGCCACGGCTTACATGAAGATCAGCGAGCGTGTAAGCGATGGCAAGCGCTCGGGAGAGTTGAAACCTTCCGTCTTTAGAGTATGGAGCGAGCTGTAACGCCGGTAATGCGACTTTCAGCGTGGATAAAAGCAGCTGGGAACCATTGCACTGCAAAATCTCCGGAGACAACCTCTCGGACAAGGTATCCCAAGCGGATAGAAGCTGGAACACTTGAGGAAGCTTGGCAGCGTCGATCGAAAACTCTTCCTCCTTAACTCGACTTCTCTCCGTAGTCTCTTTGTGATCACTCGAGGAGCACCACCTAGAAGCTCCTCCTCCTCCTCCTTTTTTAATACCGGGAAGTGGCTCCCTATCCGGACTAGTGGCACCACAATCTATCCCATCTTGCAAAAAAGCTCTAACGTGCCTCGATGCTCTAGCTCGCTTGCGAAAGTGATGCCCCCACGAGCATGATTGCTTGTACCCCACCAGAAACACTCCCTGGGAAAATTTGGTGCCGAGATGCTGGGATTTCTTCACTAGCCGCGAATGACACGAGAATCTAAGCTCGGGAAAGCTGTGCCCTGAGGAGGAAGTGCACAATGACATACTGCCCGCTTAAACCTGGATCACAGCGCAGGAACAGTGTTAATTCCTGCGCGTGTGGAAATTCCGTGGTGCCGTGGCGCATTTGCGCTGTACTATCTCCTAATCTACAGCACGAATCGATGGGAGCTTACCTCGATCATCCGCGCGCCTGGGAAATCGAGAGATCGCAGTCGCGGCGGTCCCCGCGCGCCCTAAAATCTCACTTAGAGAAGAAAGAATGCCCACCTGGATAGGCATTAAGCAGTACCTTGTGGCTGTCACTCAAACACGTGTACGATATTTTTCCTTTCGCGCGGGAATTCCTTTTTCGTACGGCAGTATCGTTGAACACGGGAGATATATTCCAAGGGTCAATCACAGCCTTTTGGCCAAATCAAGAAAGAAAGATTTTGATGGAAGGAATCACAGGAGGTACGAGCTATGATCTCTCCAAATCAAAACCATATCCCAGGTGAAAATAAAAGTTTTATTTCACGGAGTATTTTAATTTTACTTTGACTACCTTTTTATAAAGTTTAAAGCGAGAACCTTTCAAGGGGCAACGTCTTCTCCCTCGGAGAAATGGCCACGTCCGCCACCATAGCCACCGCCGTACCCGCCATGGCCACGGCCGCCACCGTACCCGCCACCGTACCCACCGCGGCCACCGCCATACCCGCCACCGTACCCTCCACGGCCACCACCGTACCCTCCGCGGCCGCCACCGTATCCACCACCGTAGCCTCCTCGCCCGCCTCCGTATCCCCCGCCATATCCTCCGCGACCGCCGTGGCCGCCACCGTATCCTCCTCGGCCTCCGCCATAGTATCCACCACCTTGAGGCTGGAACACCTCCTCTTCCTCCTCTTGATCACTCACATCGGGAGATTTCTTGGATGGCTGCTTCTCTTCCTCTGCCAGGGAGCGCATCGCAAGAACTCCATCAAGCGCGAGGAGGATAACCAAGAACAATGCGAGAACCGTGATACCACGCTTCATTGCTAAGATCAATGAATCGATAGATTGACGATGAAAAACCCAAGAACCAGGAAGCAAGTGACTAGGGAGAAAACTATGGAAGAACTCGGTGTGTGTGGAGGAAGAAGTTTGGGGTGGCAGTATTTATAGTGAGCATCGCAAACACGAGATAAGGTCGACCTCCTACCGCCACCAAACCTTTTAATTTGCAGGTCATTGAATGCGTGAAGACTTCGTGTCCGAAATATTTGCAATGGAGCGGCAAAAAGTTACAATGTGCTTCTGGAATCTGCAAATAACAAGAGTTTTATCATAGACTCTCTCGGTTCGAAGCAGAGGAGAGTCAATTTTTGCTGGCAGAAAGGCTGACGTTCACGTTTAAAGCTTGATCTTCTCGCCTGTTCAAAGCTCCGTAAGACAGCTGCTCTGCGAGATCGGTCAGGCCATTTAAGACTCAAATCTCTTACGTAGTACTGAAAAACGAACTTGATCTAAGCATTTAAACCAACCTTGTATAAACATGTTTATAAGTTATATTCTTAAACTCTAAAATGAGGTTCATTCCATAGTTACATTAATTTCTTTATCATCTAATAAACACCAACCGTGGACAACCTCTTTGTGAAGTGGTACACCATCAATATCTCTGCACTATTTTCCTGAAGCAGCCTGACCAGGGTTCCAAAACAAATTGTAATTGGAGGTAAATTTGCCCATTTGAGAGGGGAGCTTTCTGAGGAATCGTTAGCAGCCTACAGGTTGTAAATGCAGACTGACTGGACAGTGAGGCCGCAGCGGCAAACGCTTGCAGGAAGTTCCAACCAATTGTGATGCTTGAGGTGGAAAGCTACGGGCTGATTCAGAATTCCTGCGTTTATCACTACCAGATCACCGCCCTGAAGAGGCGAATCAGCAACGCGTTGTGAAGTTTAAGTCCCATAATCTGCAAACTGGCCGCTGCTTGCCCACGCTACCGGCTTCCACTCACGTCCACCTTCTTCCAGCTCCAGCAATACAATACCATATGGACCTGTTTCATTATTTTGGCACTGGCCAACCACCATCACCTTGGCGGAAGGGATCCGCCCTGAAGTAAGAGTATCCTTGTGGCAGTGGTAAGTCGTCCCAAGCTCCCTGGAAATGGCATTCCGGTCCATGTTTCAGAGCCAATATCACAAGCCTGCAACTTGCTATCCTGGAAGCTCCATGCCCAGTCAACATGCCACTATAGGCTGAAGAATTCCAGACTCTGGAGTTTGAGTGCCAAGTATAAACGGTTTGCTGATTGTGTGCAGAGCACGTGAATGCTGAACTCGTCCTGGTTGCCTCTCATTTCCAGCTTAATCTGATACACATCATTAGGTCACAGTGTAATCCAAGCTTAAGTAGGAGCCAGTGCGAGGATTGCAAACGGCCACCCGCAACAACCATGGCCGCTCCATGTAGCGTGACAATGGGGGCGTCAAGTCGGTCCAGCTTTATGAAAACAACAGAGCAGGCCAGAGCATGAGGCCATAAGAACGAAGTCCACGGGAACAACCTGTTTGAGACAGTTCCTTTGGATACCGGTGGTTCAAGATTGGAAGCCTAAATTCATTTATAACAAATTGGCTTTGCAGGACATGATGCAATAACAACATAACCAGCTAACAAGATCACAAACACCAGCAAGAGTATGTGGTGGTACAAAATGATGAATAGTTATTGGTGAAGTTTTTACCATTGGAATCGACCCAACAAGTACACTCTGATGCCACATAAAGTTTGGATGAGGGATCGTTGCCACATAAATATTAGAGGAGCCAAGAGGATAATGCTATTATCCAAGCTAATCAAAAAGAAATTTTAGTGCTGTTTTTATGGAAAGAATAATTTTAGAAAAATGACACTAGCTGGCTAGAGCACCTATAAAAAAACTTGAAGCAAGCTGAATAATACAGATTTATTTCATTGACAGTAAAATGCTTAAGCAAACAAAAAACTTAGTGAAACAATTATTCAACTATAATTTATGTATGTGAGTGCATGGAATATAGATATGGAATATGGAAATAGAATATAGAAATATGCATATCAATTTAATTGAGTGAATGGTCCAAATTGAAATCAATCTAATAGTTACTAAAATCCCATTATGCTAATATTAGTATATGGCATCGTAGCCATACATTTAAACCTCACATCATCCCCTCCTTTTAGAATGATGAAGACTATCAAAGTTCTCTCATAGATGGGCCAAGATTTGGAGGAATATCAAAAGGAGGCATTAATGAATTTATAAGTGGTGTCAGTTGTGTCTGATCCCTTTATACAAAGCATTTCAATTGTTACACATATATAATTTTTAGAGGATTGGCCTGGTGGACATCATATTGAACCTCATAAACTTATGGTCCAACTGGCTATAACACCCCATATAATCCTTTCTATTGAGTAAAAGGTCCTTTAGATAATTTATGTATTGTAAAATTGGGAAAATAGTCTAACACTAAATCATCCATTTTGTATTTCATAGGTGGATGATGCTGGCACTATTATTATCCCACTTGTATCTAACCTAGGTGTTCAGTAGATTTTGCTTAGACAAATAGAAAAATGCTCATCAAATATTGATCCCATGACTTAATATCAGTAGTTTGTAGCAATCACGAAGGTAAACCTAACTCCATTGGTAATATTAAATTATGACTATATAAAAATTTATATGGTGAAGCACCAATAAAACTCTGCACCCTTATGACATACGCATATAAAAAAGAAGGCAAATAACCATTCTAATCTGAATGCTAAAAGTTCACGTATTTTGCAATCATCCATTTAAATGTTCGAATGAACTATTCCACTAAACCATCTGATTGTGGATAATAAACACTCGTGAAAGTGTGATGTATCCCCAACCAAGATGTTAAAACATAAATACGTCAACCATAAATGTGGGACTATTATTCGAAAGAATTTACTTTGGACAAATGCTAAAACACTACTCAATTGAGGGGGAAGTATCTAACAGTAGTTGTAAACATGCTAGCAAGAGCACCAACTTCCACCTAGTGAGTTAAGTAGTTAGAAGCCATAATGAAATACTCATTGCCAACAATTAATTATGGAAAAGACCCATCAAATCAAATGCCACTAACTCAAATGGATGGGAAATTGTAATTGACTCCAATCATCTTTTTATAGCACAAGGGGGAGTATTATGAGTTTGGCACCAAATACAACTATGCACATACCGAATAACATCACATCACATTGTAAGGAACTAACTCCTTGAGGTGTCGTAGGCTAAAGGATCCCTGAAAGCACAACCGAAATGATAAAGAATTCATTGGATGGGACCGAGTTTGAGATTAATGTAAGCAATTAAAGAGAACGACTCAAAAGACGATCTATGGGGTTCAAATATAGAGGGAAAGGGCCTATGAACAAGAGTGCACCGAGTCTAGTCTAACCCGGGGAGGGGGATTGGGAGAGATTTGGGAATCTATAAATGGATGGTTAATACTTTATTATTCGTGTAGTGAGTAGCTGAACCCAAGTAGGACCAAGTAAGAGCTGGTACAATAGGTAGGAATCTTGGCGAGGGAATTTAGCTAAGGTTAAAGAAGTGTTAGTTGGATAAACGAGGTAAGTTGGCAAATTGGAAAGGAAACATTTGTAGCTTACACGCATCTCTAGTTAATAGAAAGACATGTGTAGTTTCTATAAGGAACCGACTCCCCGAGGTGTCGTAGGCTAAAGGATCCCCAAAAGCATGACCGAAATGACAAAGAGTTCATCGGATGGGACCGAGTCGAAGATCGAGTCCAAGACCGACTCTGGGACCAAGTTCAAGATAGAGTCCGGGATCGAGTCCGAGGCCGAATCGGAGACCAAGTTCGACACAGAGTCCAAGATCCAAATCAAGTCCAAGACCGAGTCTGAGGTCGAGTCCGAAGTCAAGTCCGAGATCGGGTCTGAGATCGAGTCTGAGATCGAGTCCAAGACCAAGTCCGAAGTCAGGTCCGAGATCGAGTCCGAGATCGAATCCAAGACTAAGTCCAAATACTAATACGGATCAAGGGGTGAAAGCCCAAAGCGTGTGTCTCCCAGGGGGGGGGGCTGTAGGGGGTTCCAAAAGTATAATAGGGATAGTGAGGTCCAGGAACTAGTCTTGAAGGAACTCTCCAGTGGTGCTTTTAAACTAACTTGAGGTTGAGATTGGGGCCGAGGGGCCTTGGGTGGGAGTGAGCATGGGCTTGGGTGGTGCTGGAGGGGCCACCCAGGG